TTATTTCGAGTCATATAAATATGATATAATGTATATATATGCCAATATGTTAACCTTAAGACTTGATTTTAAATTTCGTCAAGTTTTATGATAGGAGTCGATTTTATTTTTTTTTTTCATATTTTCTTTATTTATAGCAAAAAAACGCCCTAAATAAATCACAATAAATGTATAATTATGCATTATATAACCACCATCGAGAATGACCTAACAATTGACCGTGACAAAAATAACCTAACAAGTATTAAATAAAAAATGTATTTAATTAATAGGTGTTTAGGACTTTTATTATGTATAAGAGGTGGTAGCATTATTTATTTAAATTGATAATTGATTATTAAGTTTAAAAAAAATATATTAAAATAATAAATACAAGTTCGCCAGACAAACAAAATGTATTTATTTTTATTTAACCTTATTTCTGCAAATCTAAACAAATTGGCATACAAATATGAATTTTATAGTGCATTTTTGTAAAAGGGTTATGTTATTTTTAACTGCTGTTTTGAAAACTTGTGCGTTTAAGTTTATCCAGATTTAGGTCATCTCGAGTACAGTTAATAAAATAGATGTTATTTAGATAATTATGAAATGTATTCAAATTAAATTTGAATATTCATGGTGAACTGTTAAATATTTTTTTACATTAATATTCAGGTGTTGATAATGTTTTAGCTCGACATATCATTGTTATTGAATTTGTTTTAACTGCAATAAACTATTTGACTAATTTTTTTTTTAACTTATTTAATAAGGATACTATTTTTATGTTATACAATATTTGATTTCCCGCAAAAATATGAATATTTTTACAATAATGGTAAAGCAACATATTAAATGTATTAATAAATAAAACAAATATATTTCCCACCAAACCTAAAAAATAACGTTTAGAAAATATTACTATACCTACACTTCTCAAGGGTTTTATGAGCAGTTGATGGGTTCTAACCGAACGGCCATCGGACAAGCTAAAATTCAATTATATATTTGTTTAGAATTTAAATATACTCATGTGATGATCTAACGTTTTACACTGAAAAATTCATTAGCATATTATTATAAGCAACAGTCGACCTTGAAGAAGGCACACGCTCGGCTCTCATTAAACATGACCCGAAGGTGTCAAAAAAAAAAATTGAACTCTAAAAATTCGTTTGGTCACGAAAACGAACGAATTGTGTTATTTCTAATATAATTATAAAACACGTTATGTTGAGTTTGTCAATTATTATTTCTATTATATTGTCATCTCAAGCAGGCATTATTTTTCAGTAAGACACTAGTCGCGCACTAGGAAATTTAAAATGTGTACTTGAGAAATAAGTATAATATTGTACAAATAAGATATTATAATATAAAATTAGGCATAATCATAATTTTTGTCTCGTTAAATCTGGAAAAATATTTAAAGTTTAAATCTAGTTAGGTTAGTTTAAACTTAACTTAACCTAAGCTAACTTACAATTCAACACAATTTTTTTTATATGAACTTTAAGACATAACATAAGATTTTTTTTTTTAAAAAACCATATTTTTTGTCGTACTGCTTGAAATACAACAATGGAATTATTTAATTTAATTTAAAGTGTTACAGATATAAGTGTTGACTATACTTGGGTTTACCAAGTTTACCATCCGTCAAATAGACTTATAATCCTGAGTAATGAGTATTAGATTTTTAATTTTTTTTTTATCATATAAATAATAAAATTACTACTTTCGATACAAGTCATAAAATATGTAAGCACATACCTAATCATACACATAACCTAACCTAAAGGAGGTTTTATTTAAAAAAAAAAAAAGATCCGGATAATATCAATTCCGGATTTCAATCACATTGCTAATTTACATTAAAGTAGTCTGTCCGATTTTTGCCAACAATTTATATTGTTACACACAAATGGTATACCGTTTGACTTTTTTTATCAAATTATTTCAATTTTAAGTACTTAGCATTTAATTATTAATTTTAAAGTATTTTTTCCTTTTTATTTAATACCTTTAAGAACTTTTTTCGTTCAGTATGAATAATTATATTTTAATCGTCTCCAAAAAGTGTTTAAAAGAAAATTGTTGATTATATCAAGACAAGTCTGCCCTAGTTAAAGGTGGGCGAAACATTTATGGTTTTATCTTTTTTTTTTTTTATGTGTTAAGTGTTGTGTACCTAAGAAATATATTAAATAAATAAAATGTAATTAATGTTGTTATAAAATAATATTTCAAAAATATATTTACACTTTTGTATGTACAGTTGGAAAAAATCCCTACAATAAATACCGATTTAGAACTTTGACTTCCGGTTTTCATACTTACTCAAGTACTATATATATTTTTTTAAGACTATACTCGTCGCGCTATCTCGTGAATGAAGACTGGACGCGTTCAACAGGTGCGGCATTCGACCAACAGATGGCGCAGTGTAACCATAACAAAAATGATTTTAACACTGAAGGTCCTAAGTGCTAATTTGCGGGCTTGTATCCAAAAGGTTCTACGTATGTGAAAACATGTAATTTTTTAAAAGCTATAATTTAAGTGCATTTCCAAAAATTATCAAAAAAATTAAAAATAATATCACAAGTTATATTTAGCAATAATACAACCTAACATACAAAGCAATGTATTGATCCCATAGAAACACTCAAACCATTTTATTTTATAATACTACCTAATTGTATTTTGTTTTTTCAATACACAGAACATCTTTTTGTTCTAACAATATGTAGATTATTTAAAGTTCTATCCTAGGTTTGCGATAATGTCATGTTGAAGTGAGGTTAGTTCTTATCGTATGAGCTCCTTGCTAGCTAGACAAAAACTTGGTGGAATTCATTTTAATTATAATGAATAATACCATTATTCATTTTTGTATGTTAAATAAAAAATATTTAATACGTTAAATACAGTATCTACGACTGTTCATCGTTAATTGTGTTCTGTACTACGTCATGTTTAATAGTAATTTAGTTTTATTACTTTTTGTCAAGTAATAAAACTAGTATGGACACTAGTCTGCAGTTCTGGTGTTTACAAAAAAAAAAACAAACGCATTTTTTATTGTCATTTTGTTAATTTTGTCATTACAAAAAAAATTCACAAGTTTGTACAATTATACATTCTGTGTCTATAGTAATGACATTTACTGATGACCAATTAATTTTGTTGAAAAAAAAAAATAACAAGTTTATGAAATTGTATATAAATATGTGTTATGTGTATCTTTTTTTTATACGCAGAAAATACATGACAATTTTTTTAATTTACAGGGGAAACGCTTGAGGGGAAGTAAAGGGTTTGTTTTGTGAGTTCGAGTCGATCTTAAAATCATTTTTAGCGTATTGTTAAACTGTACCCACTTGATTGTTAAGCTCAACTGCCCAGAACTGGTCATAAATATAATACACGAATATTAACAGTAGGAAACAAGTAATACAAGTATAATATATTCGTACATATGATATTTCTTTATGAGTTTTCATTTTTTTATCATACCTACACACTATAATAATTTCGTTTGGGAAATGTATACGTTTTTTTATTTTTTGTTTTTTTTTAATTGACAATTGCTTTTTAATGCCCAGTGAAAGCCCGTGGATAATGCTCCAGTTGTCAATGTATACTAAACCGTATAATATGATGTAGTTTCCACAATTATTATTATTGTTACTATCTTTAAAAAAACCATGCTCGCTTTTTATTATTATTATTTTTGTTTTTACTTTTCCTTCGTTTGAAAACCGTGCGGTTTAGCCGTATAGCACATAACAATTAGGTCACTTAATGATAATTGTGTGTAAATCCAATAATTGACCAACGCTATATATTTGGCCGTATATCTTGGGTTTTCCTTTATTCAACATGGTTATACAGACTTATCGAGTTGTAACATTGTGTGTCGTTTTAAAAACTCTAATATTAACAAATACGATTTACGTGTACTGTATTGTGACCACCCCTGCTGTATAGTATCAAAAACAGGATTGACAGCAAACAATATTAATCAATTATTAATTTGTTTTTTTTTTTGTGTTTGCAGGTGAGTTGACTATTGTTTTGGTACAAAAAAAGGAAACACGAAAAGCGTAAGAATGCATCAGAAAATTATAATATAGTTTTTGCATTAAACTGTAAACAAATTTTCCATATTTGATACAAAAATTCTTGTGTGTGTATCGAAAAAAACTATTAACTCTTTGAAAATCAACAGGTGTGGCGGCGTTCTCTTAGGGGGAACGTTGAGTACTCGGGGTGTCCGTGGGGGGGGGATACTGCCCCATTACTCCTCCCCTGCGGTTTTACTCATAGGGAGAGGCGCCCTCCCCACTATGAAAATAGGTATACAGATATGTACACACAAGTATTGGAAATATTACAATATTTCTTTTTGTCATTTATTTTGTAGTAAATAATAGAATAGGATATTTAGGAAAAAAGAGTTGCATTGCAAAAACTAAATGCGTGACCATTATTTCTTTTGTTTGGCATTTCTGTTACCAAATAAAACGACAAGACAAATTATTACAGTAACGCATCCGTTAAGTTTACAATATTTTATTTGTTAACTATACACATTAACACAACAAGCGTTGCGTAATTTTTTTTTAAATCAAGTATGTTTTAAATCAAACGTAATTATTTAAGTGTACGACTAGGTGAGGGGAGAATTTTTCGGATTTGTTAATTATTGTCCGGTGACCTGTGACCGCTCGCGTTCCTGTGACCTGTGACGTCGAGTGTTATTATTATGTTTTTCGCATTCCCAATTTCCGAACGGCCACGGTAGACGAGCGGCGCCCTCGAGTCGAACGTCCGCCGCCGCCGCCGCAGCCGCCGCCGACCGGTTTTCGCCGTGACCTCAAGATATCATAGGCGATAGCACCGCGGCCGCCGCCGACGATAACGCGCACGCGGGGCGATCCACCGCAGTCGTATCGCCGATTCCGTTACGTCCACTACCGCGCGCGCGAACCCGACGACGTTTGGTTCTGTTGTACTCGCCAAAAACGATGGCCACCACCGTAGCCGCCGCCGCCGAAGAACTGCGCGTACCCGGTTCGCCTCAGCCGTACGCCCTGCGCGTCCGCGGTTCGTGGCGCGATTATTTCGACCCGCCGCCGCTGGACGACGACGAAGACGACGATGCCGCTTGTTGTACCGACACGGACACCGACTGTTGCGTTTCGGACGACGACGACGACCGATTTTCGTTGTACCGAAGCGACTACGACGACGACGACGATGACGGGTCGTGCTGTTCGCTGTGCTCGTCGTCCGGTGGCCGCCGCCGACGACGCCGGTACACGCCACCGCCGCCGCCGTCCCTGTCGCCGGTATTTGAACCGTCCATGCGCGGGTCGTGCCGGTGCGTCCGGTGCCAGAAGCGCCGGTACTCGCTGGACTTCTTCCGGGGCACCGACTTCCGTCGGGGCATACCCTCGCCCAACGTGTACATGATCGACGAAACCGGATGCAAAATCGTCGACGACTACATCCACGGTAAAGTCCACCCTCGAAAAAAAAAATGCTTAAATACTTCATTTAGTTCATATATGAATTAATAAATATATATTATCATATATATATATCCACACCTCATCTGCTAAGATAAAAATGTAAAAAAAAGGAAAAAAATTATTTTTCTGCAACAACATTGTAAGACTGACTTCTCCAATTTAAAGTCTGTAATAACATAAGAATTTTTTGGCCTCTTTACTGGGTTATGTTAGAAACCGATTTTCATTAAAAAAATGCATTTTTTTGTAATTAAAATAATTAAATGTAAAACTTTTTTTTCTACATCAAAAAGCTAAATATAAAAATCTGTTTCCTACATAACCCAGAAAAGTAGCCAAAGAATTTGTACATCTTTATATAGGAATGAAATCGGACCATCCTAAGTAGACGAAATTCTGTCAAGTTTTTTGTTTTAAATCTGTATAATATTTTATACATTTTATAAAAAAAAAAATTCCATTGAGTCTGGTGTCAGATAGTCTCTTAGGGACCTCCAGTTGATTTTTAAATACACTTCAAAGTTATTAACATCTTTTCAAACAAAAATGATTATTTTCTTATTTAGGTAATAAAAAAAAAGGCAGTTTTTATGATCATCATAGTATGATTAGCATTGTTTACTAAAGATAAAAGAAATGTCCTTGAAATACTTAATATTATTCGATGAAAATCAATTAAAAGGGATTGATTTCTTATTTTTTTCTTTCGAATATACTAAAGTTTTTTATGCAGTTGATTAAAGAACAAAAAAAATATTGTCTTAACAATTTGTATTGTCATTATTCGTTATTTTTTTTTTATACGGTTTGGCTTGTCTAAAAATAACACGTTTTTTTGTGGATTGTTAAAAAAAATACTAGGTACGTTTACATTGTTTCAGCGGTATAAGTAGTTAAACCTGTAACAGATTTTTCATGAAAATTGAACATTGGGTAAATTTTGCCGATAATTATTACCATTTTAATAGTCAACAAACAAGATAATTTGCATAAAGATTAACGATGGGTCCGACGATAGGTTGGCCGACCATCGTTAATCGTTTGTATATAATTAGACTTTCATTCGACCTACTAATAAAACATCATCAATTAAATTTTCGATCACTTGATCGATCTAGTCTTGTCCGTACGATTCGTAAGCTGCACTTGTGATGGTTAAAATGCAACGTTTGAACGTTGAACGTTCAACATTTGTCTTTACCCGAAAATGACACCATTGAATCGTTTGAATAAAATATGATAATAGATAATAGTTAAAATACCATTAACAATCATTCGATGTGAAAATGTCTCGGCCATCAGTTTATTAGTTGGCCTCGGGAACGTGTGGAAACTGTCAAAACTAGCTTTAAAAAATATGTTTGACAAAAAACAAATCTAAAATAAAAACATTTATTATAATTAATGTTGTGGTGTTTGTTTTTTGACGATCATTAATTTAGTTTCCGCGTTGCTGCTTTTCATGTTATCCACCAACAAAACGCTCGATAAGTAACAATTTATATACCTACATCCGACCGCTTCACGATGTTGCCTTCACGATGCATTAACATTTTCAATGTAATAACAACAACAACCGTACCATTATCCGAACGAAAATAATTAACACGGATAGTCTGGTTTCCAATATGCTAATAAGTGTAGTGTTATATTTATTTCAACGACCGAACAAGTTTTCACGGGTATCGTGACGGACATCATCGCTGTTTAAGGAAATTCTATTGAAACGCTAATAATTATAGACCCGAGGAAAGTCCTAAGGGTGGACTCGACTCGTTTGCCTTTTGCTCGTTTCACGCGGATGAGAGTCCTATAGATATATTATTTTTATATTGCCTGTAAACAATCAGGCGTTGGGCTTGTAGCAAACATGCAGCGATGATTTGATAGAAAATGTTTTTTAACACCGAATCTGTCTTTTGGAAGTCGTCAGAGGCCTTAAAAAGATCACACAAAGAGCATTGTTACTATTGGATACCTTGAGTGTGGCTTGGCTTTGGGAACGGAGCTTGGAAAGTGTAGACTCTTTAAAGTTCAATACAAGACCCTCAGAATATGCCCCTGCAACCCTACTGGCGTAGCGTTAGACTTGGACTTTTGAGCTGGCCGGTCAACCCCGAGACCTTAAGACCATTGAAGGGCCAGCACTTCCCACGCCTTTGGCTCGCCCTTCGAGTTCACGGTGATGACGTTGACAGTGCAGCTGCTAACAATAACCCCTTTGCCGAAAGGTCTTCTACAAAGTACTGTCCGCTGTAAACGTTTTTGTATACCGTTGAGTGGATGCCGTTTGGATACCAAGCGGCAGCCGGTGTATGATGAAAACGGGTCGGCGAGGAGAGGTAAATGTAGTTTATTATGATTAGGTAGCACGCACATAGTCGTGAGCTTGCAGCACAATGGGCTCTGGTGTGCAGAAGAACAATTATGCAAGAATCCCGCTACGGGAATCGTACATACGAATTGCCAACGTCTGTCAACCGGTTTTTGCACTGCAACACCGATGATCTGGTTTCGTACGGAGAGAGAACAGTAGCGCTATTGTCCTCTCTTTCTCTCTGCCTTATTCAAGTCCACCGTAGACCAGAGCAGCACAGGCCTAAATCACATTCTGGCCCGGTTCTCTTCCTACTTCCGATCGTAGATTGGTGGACGGATTTTGTTGGATGTCCCATTACATCATGTATTTTTATCCCTATCGATGACATTGTTTGTTCTTGTTAGTGCTTGCAATTCTTTGAATAGGGCACACAAGTTTTCTGGATTCAATCGCCTGTTTTTTTCTTTCTTGACCATTCTTTTCTTATAGGGGCGTATCAAAGAGCTAGACCGGATATTCGTAGCATCTTTAGACAATCACCCCCGTCTGTTCCTGTTATTTTTTCAAGTAAAACTTTTTTCCCGGTTTCCTCGCGGTGTGCACGGTCTAGTTTCACTACTAGATATTTAGTATTATCCAGAATTCTTCCCCTTGCCCGTCTTTATTCATAGACTACTCTGTGCCTGTAAATGCTTAAGCAGATATTCACACTTGTCGACAAGTGAGCCACGGCGTTGCAGCTGTCGGTCATTACGACACACATAAACGGCGATCGTAAACATCAAACCGAATGTAGTTTATTATTTATGAAGACGATGTCAGTTTTTTCGGCCTTGGCGGATCACGCGTTGACGTGGCTTCACTCCGAGTCTGCGTGGTTCTGGTTTCAAACGACTATCGGTGGTTTAGTTAATGATCTCAATTAAAAAAAAAATCCTAATCGAGTAACGCGACATATAGTGTCGAGTCTGAATTTACCGGTACAATAGCTTTCAAAAAAACAGTAGGTACTTAAGTATTTTGTTTACAACCGATTCGACACGACACCGGCCACCTGTTTAGACGGAGTATGTGACCAGTTGGCGTTGAAGTCTTCATAAATAGTAGTAGTACCAATAGTGTGGTAGCCTTACTGCCTACACTATGTAGTACCCATTATAAATTTATTATTATAGGTTTGACGGATGAGTTTGTACTTGGGAGTCGAGCGGTATATAATATTATGCTAGCGTGTCTTATTTTTAATTGAACACTTCTTAGAAATTGTCCCGTAACCGTTAAGCGCGCGGTCATAGTTGAATAATTGTGGGTCATTGCGCAAATAAATATCCAATAATAATAATAATAACAGCATGGGCGTCGTGAGTACAACTGGGGCAGAGCCGGGGCTGTTTTCTTTACACGGCTAGATTTCGTTTTCTTCTATAAATTCATAAAAATAACCGTTCGTTTCTCATTAGTAACGATTGCAATGAGATCTTGTCGACTTGAAAAATAATAAAACCAACGAGAAAAACAAATTAGCGAATCGGATTAGCTCGATACGTCTAATTATTTTATACAATAAGTAGTTTTGCGTCAACAACAAACTACAGACATCAGGTTTTTCGTGCAACTCAGATTCCGGTCTTAGGCATCGCGAGTAACACAAGTATTTCAAATAATATTTAAAAAAGAAGCTTGTCTAACACATTTAAACAAAAAAAACACATCTTTACACTATGTTTCGATTATGTCTTTTTTCTTCTACAGTTGTTGTTTCGTTACTCCTTAGGTTAGGATACTTAACCTAATACCTACCGCGAACAAGATATTGTGTGAAAGTGGACTAAACAGCAATACATTTCGCCGGTCGCATATTGTAGTTTTATTAATTGGATCGAATTCTCTATTCCGAATCTGTCAGTGACAGTACTATTCCTCTAAAAGTGGGACGGTTATGATTTTCAATAATTAAAATACATCCCACGTGCGTGGTATCAAGTTCAAGGCGTTTTCAAATAGTAACACAAGTAGTTTTAATGGTATTGATTGTATTTAACCCTGATCACTCGCCAATGCATTTCTCTGTAGGTCATACTGCGCTGTATAGGTCCAAGGAAAATCGACCTCCAATTGAGTTTGTTAAACTATTAAAAACGTTCTCCGCCGTCGACCTAATCGCGAAATATTGTCATCCGTATTTTAGTTAAGCACCATAGGCGCAATTTAGGGAGGGAAGGCTTAGGGGGTACTAGCACCCCAAATTTTAAAATTAGCACCCTTTAATATTTTCCGTGTTTATGTATTAAAATCGACCTTTTACCGCGAAAACAACATGTCGCCTCTTTATTATATTCGGACACGACGCGATTATGAATAACAATATTTTATTATCTACTGACCACTATCGTCCGTTACTATGCACTGTAGACAACACGGAATAAAATTGGAATACTTACAGAATATTCTAGTGACTAGTCTCTAATATTAATTATTAATTATTATTATTTATGAATAAAGATGTTTTCAATTTTTAATAAATATAAAAAAAAATAACCGTGATGCCATTATAACTTCCGGTAAGTATAAATACAGTTTTTTTTTCATATTTAGCGGAGATGATAATAGCAAAAAATAGTTTTAAAAAAATTAATTCGACTTAACACATTTAAAAAGTGCAA